TTTTAAGCCACCAGGTCCAGAACTCAAACTGTGGCTGGACACGTGGGAATCTAGCACCTTAACCACCATGCCACCTGCTGGCCCCAGATGTTGGCTATTCTTAGCAAGCTCCCATTAGCATTTTTTTTTAAGTTTTATTTATTCATTGAGACAGAGAGAGAAAGACCCCTCAAAATAGGGTCTCCACACTATGATCCACCCCAGTCTCAACCAGTGAGGATCACTGGCATGCATGCCCAGCACGTTTAGAGAGGTTACAGGATGTGAACTGAAGACCTCCCCTAAATAGGTCCAGTTGTGTTACCACTGCACCACCACCTGGCACCATTAGCAACTCTATTTTTTTTTTAAGAGAGATTTTTGCTATAGGGCATGTGCACTCACCTGAGTGAGAGACAGAACGACAGACAGAAAGTGAGAAATCACCCCCCAGGGGAATGGCCATGGACAAACCCTTCTCCTCCATTCTCCTCTTGAGATTTTGGGCACACACGCATGCACGTGTGCCTGGAATGAGTTTAAGTCACCAGGTCCAGGATTTGAATCACAGTCGATTACATGGGAGTCCAGTGTCATAACCATTCATAACCATTACATCATCTGCTGGTCCTTAGCAATTTTTTTTTTTTTTTGGAGAGGTTTTCGCTATAGGGCGCGTGTGCTCGCCAGACAGACAGAGAGACAGAGAGACAGAAAGCGAGAAATCACCCTCAGGGGGGATGGCCACACAGCAATCCCTTCTCCTCCATTCTCCTCTCGGGATCTTGGGCAGGCACGCACACGCACCCAGTGTGAGTTTTAAGCCACTGGGTCCAGGACGCAAACTACGTGGGAGTCCAGCGACATAGCCATTATGCTAACTGCTGGTTCCCCTTAGCAACTCTTTTTTAAACATAGATTTACATTCACTGCTTCCACTCCCTGCTACCTTGCCTGAACAAATAACTGTAACCAATCCAAACCTTTCACTCTCCTCTGAAGAATACTTCCCAGTCTATCCTCACCAATGAGAACACCTGTATTCTTCCCTACATCTCATTCAGAAAGATTCTGCAACTGCATTTATTGAATACTTTTTCTATTTTCAATTATACACTTAACTACTAATCAGAAATCATAATTAGATAAAAAGAACCGGGGCTTAGTTAAAATGAATGAACAAAGCTAAGAAATATAATATTTTAGCCTTCTGATGGGCAAAAGTGTGTTTCTAGGCTTTCTGAAAGCTTGCTTCTGAAGAGGCTGAAAGGACTATTAGAATTCCTTCAATCTGGGACCAGCAGTTAGCGTAATGGCTAAGTCGCTGGACTCCCATGTAGTCGACCGTGGTTCGTGTCCCTGACCCGGTGGCTTAAAACTCACACCAGGTGCGTATGCGTGTGCGTGCCTGCCCAAGATTCCGAGAGGAGAATGGAGAAGGGATTGCGGTGTGGCCATCCCCCCTGGGGGTGATTTCTCGCTTTCTGTCTCTCTGTCTGGTGAGCACACGCACCCTATAGCAAAAACCTCTCCAAAAAAAAATAAAAAGAATTCCTTCAATCCTACGAACTGAGAAAACTCACTTCTGACAAAGATTTTTTTTCAATTAGTAGAGTATATAAGCCTTTATACTCATTAGTTTAGAGACTTTTGCTTTAATAATAATTCTAAAAATATAATCTATAACTTATGGATAAATGCTAGTATATGTACAGATGCAACCAACAAGGATCAGATTCAGTTTAGGGGATAAATTTCCCACTAGCTCCTAGAATGGCTATTGTGTAAATGCGTTGGTCTCTCTCGCTCCTTTTTTCCCCCCTTTCAAATATAATCAACCTGGCTGGAAAACCAACCAGTCTGGAAGAATACTCAGCAGGGATCTCAGATAAAGCAGGAAATTTCTAGATTGCAAATGAATGAACAAAGCACTTAAGAATAGATGTATGATACAGTTTAATTTCAAAATCACCACTGAAAGACAGGTTAGGTCTTTGTTTGTTTGCTTGAAAATTGGTGGGCTTGTTCGCTGGTACTAAATGGAACAGCTTATCAGCTGAGGAGTCTGTCACCCTGTCAAGACTTCACTGAATGCAGTGAAGCCTGACTTTGGATTCCAATTTGGTACCCACTCCCCATCCTCCCAAGCCCTTCAGTCTTTCTTCCTCAGAAATTTCAATCTGCAGCTATCTGAATGACAAGTACCTAAGGGTCATAGTAACAGCATCAACAATTTCACCAGATTACTGCAATTTAAGGCCTGAAAAAAAAAAACACATTTTGGTTTAAATCACACTGGCCCCAATATACATGAATGATGTGATAAATTCAGAGTTTTAGACTTCATAAAAATTATTTAAAACACATTTGCCAACAGTCTCAAACTGACTTGCTAAACTGCAGCTCTTTATGCTATGTTTGCGATGAAGCTTTCAACCTTAGCATTTATCTTTGAAGACGCACTTTAACAGCTTGCTCCTCCTTCATGTGAATCATTCAGACCACTCAGGTAAAACCACAGCTTTTACAAATTCAAAACAGTACCTAGGTCAGTGGTTCTCAGCCCTGGCTATGTTAGATTCATCTGCGTAGGTTTTTTAAAAATAACTGTGCCTCGCTTTTTTTGTTGTTTGTTTTTCTTTTTGAGAGGTTTTTGCTATAGGGCGCATGGGCTCACCAGACAGACAGAGAAAGACAGAGAGATAGAGAGAAATCATCCTCCAGGGGGGATGGCCACGCCTCAATCCCTTCTCCTCCATTCTCCTCTCAGGATCTTGGGCACGCACGCACAAGCGCCCGGCGTGAGTTCAAGCCACCAGGTCCGAGAGGTGAACCACGGTTGACTATGTGGGAGTCCAGCGACATAGCCATTACGCTAACTGCTGGTCCTGTGCCTCGCTTTTAATGATTAATTGGTCTGAAATAGGAACTTGGCATGGTATGTCTTAAAAGCTCCCCAGATGATCTAATGTACATAAAAGATTAAGAACTGCTGACCTGTGAGAATGGCTTGAGCATAACTTCCATGAACACTTCTTTCAGGGTCTTTTTTTTTTTTCGCTATAGGGCGTGTGCGCTGGCCAGACAGACAGAGAGAGAGACATAGAGACAGAAAGCGAGACAGGGGGGATGGTCACGCCGCAATCCCTTCTCCTCCATTCTCCTCTCGGGATCTTGGGCACGCACGCACACACGCCCGGCGTGAGTTTTAAGCCACTGGGTCCAGGACGTGAACCGCGGTCGACTACATGGGAGTCCAGCGACATAGCCATTACGCTAACTGCTGGTTCCCAGGGTCTTTTTTTGTTTTTTTTTTTTGGAGAGGTTTTTGCTATAGGGTACGTGCACTCACCAGAAAGAGAGAAATCACCCCCCAGGGGGATGGCCACACTGCAATCCCTTCTCCTCCATTCTCCTCTTGGGATCTTTGGCACGCACACTCGTGCGCCTTGTGCAAGTTTAAGTCACTGGGTCTGGGACTTGAACCGTGGTTGACTACATGGGAGTCCTACTACATGGGAGTCCAATGACATAGCCATTATGTCAACTGCTGATCCCCATTTCAGGCTCTTAATCTGAATGACAGAAGTCTATGTGCAATCTCTCTTCATTTTAAAGACTGAAAATTTGAGAACAACAATTAAAAAAATGGTAACAATTTGTTTACATGATACTCATATAGAAAAAATGTCCTATTCCCATGATCTTTGCTGTTAAAACTATATTTCATTTTTTAAAGAATTATTTTATTGAACTTTATTTTATTATTTATTTATTTTAATTTGACCAGAGAAGGACAGAATGAAAGAGTGAGAAAGCAAGCTGCCAGGTCCAGGACTCAAACTGTGGTCAGCCTTGTGGGAGTCAATGCCCTTAACCATGATGCTACCTACTGGTTCTGAAAACTATATTTCATTTTTGCTGTCAGGATAACTTCTCTCAAGTCACATTCAGGCTCTAAACCACTCAAATGTTCCAGAAATCTCAATATTTTATCACCCAAACTAACCTCCCAGCCTACCTCTTACACCTTGGGTAATACAAAACACTGTCATATCTTTTACTTATTTTGAAAAATATTACTACCAAATCTACCTAGTGTCAACACTTTCCTTTTTCTCTGTCTAAAGTTCAAAGGCCACAAGCCACTTTTTTCTATAATGTTTTTCCCCCATGATTTGGAGTACTAATGATTTCTTTCTTATAGGAATTCAGTTTCTCTTTTGGCATCTTTCTATCGGCTCTTGTGTTGACATTTAACCTTTCATCCATTTTGAGACCTGTTTTCCGAGGCCTTTGAAGACAAGGACTTTTTTTTTTTTTAATTTTGCCATAAGGTGAGTTGGGGGTGGGTGAGTGAAAAAGTCCCCTTTATAGGCAGTCACGCAGCAATTCCACCTGCTACATTTCTCTTTCCATCCCGGATCCTGGACACCCTTCGCCCAGTGTATCCTAGAAAAGGAACCAGTTCTGGGACTCAAACTGAAAAATTGGCCATGTGTAATCCAGCCACCTAAACCACCAAGCCACCAGCTGGCCCCAAGAACAGTCTCTTACACCTTTTTTTTTGTATCAGTTTTCAAAACAAAGGCTCACACTACCTTTGATTTTCACTACCAAGTTGTAACTTTCTGGCCGGAGTTCTCACTTAACCCTAAAACTCTTTAATTCTACTATGGCATCCAGCATCCTACCAAGCATTCCCAGATGTGCTACACGAAAAGAGCTAGACACAAAATTTCTGCCTTTGGTGTCAGTATTTTGGGCTCTTCTGCTGAACTCCTTTATAATCATTCTCCTTTTCTCCTCTCAAAACTTAAATTACCTTCCTCTCTTGCCATCTTCCACAGCACTACTTCTTTCCAGGCAGCACTCACCTCTAACCAGTTCCACTTCCTCCTCAAATGCCCATTTCTTTCTTTCTTTCTTTTTTTTTTTTTTTGACACTTATACAAACAATATTCTATATTCAAACGTTACAAGTTATAGATTGAACTTTTCCCACTTGTGCTTTAACTCACCGATCCCTCTTTACAGGGTTGTCACAGTCCCTCTGAAGCTCAAAAGCCCATTTCTAATCAAGGCCTAACCTTTTCTAAGATGGCCGCCGTGGAGCCCGGGGATGAGAGCGCGGGTTCCACCACGCAAGGCTCCTAGCCTAGGATGGGGGGGAAGTTATTGAGGCTGGGCTAGCGGAGGAGCCGCCCAGGGAGCCGAAAGGGCGGAGGAGGCCAGGCTACCCGGGCCTGCAGCTCAGCTCCCAGCCCCCGGGTCGGCCAGCTCCGTCACAGGAAGTCGGGCCGCCACCCCTCGACGTCAGGGGCCGGAAGTGAGCGTTGCTGGGCACAGACACTGGGGCGAAGGCGGCTGCGGCGAAGGGGACTGCTTGAGAGCGCGTCTCCGACTGAGGTAGGAAAGGCGTCCAGGCCCGGCTTTGGCAGCGCCACAGTCTCCCTTCAGTGGCGGGGATAGGCCGTCCAAGACCTCCCCGTCCCTTTCCCCGCGCCGTCGACCTGCCGGCCCCATTCCGCAGGGTTGGCTACCGGCCAGTTCGCGTCGTCCACTCGAGGGCCTCTTCGCGCCTTTGTCTACGTCTTTTTTAAGCTAACCCCCTTCCTCACCTTCTCCTATTTAGTCCTGTTGTTTAAATCTACACTGACTTTTGTGTTTGTTTAAAGGAAGAAAATGATGATTTTTCTGAGGTCCGAGTTTTCTCAGGAGCTTAACCAGTAGATCCCGACTACGTCCAGCCTTCATATTTAACTGTTTGGCCTACGTGGTCCGTTTCACGTACTTAGAACCGAAGGAAAAGAATCACCTGTGAACAGATTTGATGGGGGAAACCCTTAAACGGACACAGCTGAGAGGTGATGCTGTGGCTTTCAGTGTCCTTAGTCTATTGTAATTGGTCTTTTTGCTTGAAAATAGATTGACTTCCTACCAGCCTGCTGAAAGTGGCACTCATCAGTCTTTTAATATGCCTTAAAATCGAGGCACAATACTTGGTTCTTCCTTCCAAACTTCTATTTTATTGAAAAGTATAAACTATGTATAAGTAAAACGTGTCCAAAAGGTCGGGATTTCCTATTCCAAACGTGAAGAACATTTTTAAGAGTTTCACTAATGGCTGTAATTAACAGATGGGCCCTACAGGAAATTACAATGAGAGTTCCAGCTGACCACTTGTATCTCCTACCTTAGGTTCCAATGCTGCTTATGTCATAGAATGGGGGGAATGAGTGTGGAATTGTATGAGGAGCCAAATGAGAGCTTGCTCTAGAGACAGTAGCTGTAAATCTAACCAGTTTTCAGAACTTTCCTATGAGAGTAGATTTATATAAATTCAGTCTTTTCTCCATAATAATAAATGCATTTAGTCACCGTGCTAAATAGAGTTCTCCAGGAGAAGAGGATCCAAACTGCAAAACGCTTTCTCTTTTAATCTTTCACATTTCTGTTTACAGATGCTCTTATCATTGTGTTATCCAAAGTATGGACACCTTAAGTCCTAATATTCAGAAGTTTTCTCTCAGTACACAAAAGGAATAAGTATTAACGGGAGAGGTTTAAATCAACATGCCTTGTCATTTTAGCATAGAAGATTGTGAGGAAAGAAGCATCGTTAGAAAAGGGGAATGTCAGAACCAGCAGTTGACATAATGGCTATGTGGCTGGACTCCCATGTAGCTAACCACGGTTCGAGTCCTGGACCCGGTAGCTTAAACTCACGCCAGGCGCGTGTGTGTGCGTGCCCAGGATCCCAAAAGGAGAATGGAGGAGAAGGGATTGTGGTGTGGCCATCCCCCCCCTGGGGGGGGGGGGGAATTTCTCACTTTCTGTCTCTCTTTCTGGCGCACACACGCAACCTATAGCAAAACCTTCTCAAAAAAAAAAAACCCTCCAAAAAAAGGGGGAGAATGTCATGTCATTGTGGTACTTCTGATTCTATTTCAGAAAGGTCATGAAAATGGTAAACTAAATGTCTCTGAGTGTGTTAGATGGGTTAGCGGTATAGTGTCTAACAGAGTTTCCAGCATTCCCAGATCCCAGAACAGAGCAAGGCTGGTAACCTGACCATCTTGTATTTTTAATTACTTGAGAGGAAAGTTTTAAAATAGTACCCTATTCCTGTGTTTATCCAGAAGTTTAAATAACAGTATTTTTGTGGTCTTGTTCGCTCTAACATTAAAAGAACATCAAACTCTCCTAGTAAACAGTAACAGGCTGTTTTAATATCATCTAAAATAGACTGACATCACCTGAATAGTTTAAATTAGTGATCATATTTTATTTTCCTTAACTATTGGTATGCCCTAGAATTTATTCTAATAATTTGAGTTAGGCAATGATGTTAAAATTCCAGGACCAGCAGGTGGTGTGGTGGTTAAGGGCACTGGACTCCCACATGGCAGACAGCAGTTCAAGTCCTGGACCTGATGGCTTGCTTTCTCATTTTCCCTCTGTCTCTCTTTCTCACTGTGTCACTCTCTGGTCAAATTAAAATAAATAAATAAACCTAAATAAAATAATAATTTAAAAATTCTTCAGAGAAGTAAAGAATACCTAAAAGGAGAAAATATTGGCTGGAGTAAGTGGTATTACTAAGCATTTTTTTGAAGAATTGCTTTTTATTTAACTTTATTTATTTTAATTTGACCAGAGAGGAACAGAGAGAGAAAGTGAAAAAGCAAGTCGCCAGGCCTGGGACTCGAACCACTGTTGGCCATGTGGGAGTCCAGAGCCCTTAGTCACCACTCTACCTGCCACCCCCACCAAGCATTTTTTATATTACATTTTGGTAGTTTCAATTCCAGAAATGACTCCACATCTTTGTGCTACCTTTGATACATTTCATTTCTGATTCCCTGACCCATACTTTTTTTCTCCCCCCAGCACTTGGATTCAGCTCCTTCATTTCCAACAATGGAAGAAACTTACAGTATGTACTACTTGTTGCTTTTAGAAAATAATTAGAATCAATTATGTATAGTTTATGTCTGACAAGATTTTTTATTGTTTGGAAAAATTTGTATTTCTTCCCAAACCGATGAGGAAGAGTGGTCTTTGTGGCACTGAAATAGAGAAATGCCCAAATTTGAAATAAGACTTTTGAAATTTAAATATTAGGTTGTCGGGGAAGTCATGATGTGTTTTTCTGTTTTTCTATACAAAGATGTGTCATGAATTTTCCAACAACCCAATAATTAAAAAGATATGAGGGGGCCAGCAAGTGGGCATGGTGGTTGGGGCACTGGACTCACACATGACTAACTGTGATGCAAGTCTCAGACCTGGCAGCTTGCACTCACTTTCTCTCTCTGGTGAGTGCGCATGCACTATAGCAAAATTTCAAATAATAATAAAATAAAATAATAATTTTAAAAAGATATGAGAACTCACTGTAGCTTTGAAAATGCTGTGGTTAGTATACTTGTGTTAAACTATATTTTTACTAAATGAGGCATTTTAACTGCTCAGGACTTCTATGTATGTGTAACAAAGATAGTAACTTCTGCTTTTTTCTATTTTGAGTGGCAATATGATATACGTAATGCCATTATATATTAAGTTTTTAGGATAAGAAATTCTGGAAAGGATTCTTATTTCTCAGGTGATCCAGGAACATTAGAACATCCAAGAAATCAAGGAGAGCCAGCATCTAGAATTATCCAAGTATAGAACTGAAAGGGACCTGGAACATAATTTCTTATAACAGAGATAATAGAGCCTAGGTTAGTTGGTTTGCCCGAGGTTACATAGTTAATTAGGGACAGAATTAGAACCAGGGTCTTCTATATTGCTTATACCTAGTACAGGCCTTGATACCACAGGCACTTTTATTTCTAGGCCTGACCAAATTTGACAAACATTCAGTTGATGCCTATGGATGAAACTTTGTTTTGTACGTTGCTGTCTTGTTCAGAATATCATTATCAATTTCAACCATAGTATATTTTAACCCTGTCTACCTTCCAGAAAGAATGAAAATCTGTATCACCAAAGTATACATAGAAATACATAGACACAGTCTTTGTTAAATATCTTGAACACAGGGGTTCTTAAACTTCAGCTTGCAGCAGAATCTCATTGGCGGGGGAGTTCTCTTAAAACAGAGATTGCTGAGTTTTGCCCCTAGATTTTCTGATTCAGAAGATCTGAGACCCAAGAATTTGCATTTCTGACAAGTTCCCAGGTGAGGTTGATGCTGCTGGTCTGAAGCCCGGGCTTTGAGAATCATTGATCTAGAAGGCTGGTTCCCCTGAATTGTCATTAAGGGGTCCCCAACCCCTTGATTTTTCTAAAATATTTTTAAATGTGAAGCTTTTATATATGCATGTATTTTTGTAAACTTACTACTCTGTTAAATTAAAAAACATCAGGCCAGCCAGGTGGCAAGGTGGTTGGGGCAGCTGGATCTTGCTTGGCCAGGCTGCATAGTTCTCTCTCCCCCACTATCCCCCTCTCTCCCCCTCCAGTGAGCACATGTACCCTATAGCAAATTCAAAAAAAGAGGAAAGTATATATTAAATTGTTAGTCACAATATTGTGCATAATTGAGGGGAAAAAAGGAAACATCTTAAATTTACATCAGTAAGGGAATTAAGAATCTGTGGTTCCAAGCGTGTGTGCGTACATGCCCAAGATCCCCAGAGGAGAATGGAGGAAAAGGGATTGCGTCGTGGTCATCCCCCCTGTGATTTCTCTCTTTCTATCTCTCTGTCTCTCTCTCTCTTTCTGGTGAGCACATGTGCCCTATAGCAAAAACCTCTCCAAAAAAATAGTCTGTGGTACATCTGGGGCCAGCAGATGGCATAGTGGTTACATCACTGGACTCCCCCATAGCTGACCACGATTCAAGTCCCAGACCTGGCAGCCTGAAAATCATGCCCCACACACCCAAGATCCAGACAGGAGAATGGAGGAGAAGAGATTGTGACATGGCCTTCCCACCTGGGGGGAGGGGGGGTGATTTCTCACTTTCTGTCTCTGTCTCTCTGTCTCTCCAGCAAGCATATGCACTATGGCCAAAAACTCTCTCTAAAAAAAAAAAAAAAAAGAGGGACCAGCAGATGATGTAGTGGTTACGTCACTAGACTCCCATATTATTGACTGCGATTTGAGTCCCAGACCTGGTGGCTTAAAACTCAAACCAGGCACATGTGAATTTATGTCCAAAGTCCCAAGAGGAAAATGGAGGAGAGGGGATTGCAGCATGGCTATCCCCCCCTGGGGATGATGTCTTACTTTCTGTCTCTCCT